AGGGCAAAGGGAGAGCTGGTCTGGGTACCTGAACTGAGCCCAGTGCCCAGGATGCAGTCCCAGTGCCCCCCAAGACTCCTTCCACCCCCTCCCATCTACAAAGCCCTGCACGTGTCACCCATGTGAGCAAATAAGACCTATCCAAGAAGAAATGGAAAAACTCGATCAAGGCCACCAAGGGCCAATATGAGCCGGGCTGGCTTACTTCTGATGCCAAGTTCAGGATTCATACTGGGTTGGCCAGACGCAGGCAGGGGCCTGGGCAAGGCCACGGTGTCAGAGCTCAGTCAAAGAGGGTCCTTCCTCAACACCCCAGTGGGGTGTGCTGGGCCCTGTCTCCAAAGTCCAGCCCCTCCCCACAGGAGCTCCGAATGGAGAAGCTAAGGTGTGGGGTCAGTGTCCAGCTGGCAAGGCCCCTGGGCTGGGCAGGACACCCAGCGGTAGGCCAGTGCTGCCCACCACACACCATTCGGCCAGCCAGGCCGTGACCTATCTGGGCTGGCCACGGGAAGGAGGCCAGGCAGTGCTCAGGGCCCCGGAAGGCTGACCAGTGGGCAGGCGGGCAGTGGGGGTGGCCAACGTAGCCCCAAGCTCTGCAGGAGGAGAGACGGCCAGAGTGGAGCCCTGGTTTCCACCCTCAGCTGCACAGCCAGAGAGGCTCCCAGAGGAGAGCAGGGAACACCCCCCGGGCCCTGTCACCACAGGGCAGAGGGACAGTCGGGGTGGCCAGGGAGTGTACCACCGGACTCGGGGCAAGACCACTATGGAGCACCCCAACCAGGAGAGCCTGGAAACAGCAACTGAGTTGCCAAATTCTGTTCGCTCAGGCCTCTGAGACAGCCAGGCAGGGACACAGTGTGCAGAGAACACGCATGTTCAGAGATGTGTGCTCACAGCACAGGGACACGCAGAGACACAGGTCCAGACCCCGCTTGTACACGCACAGACACGCAGCAGGGACACGCAGAGACACAGGTCCAGACCCCGCTTGTACACGCACAGACACGCAGCAGTGCCTCCTCCCCGGGGTCCCGGACCCTGGACCAGCCTACTGTCTGCTTCCCGCCAGGCTCGGGCACCCCACCCCACCCTGCCTTCAGCTCTGAGCTGACACCCAAGTTCAGGAAGGGGCCTCACGCCCCTTCTCCACCATGAAAGCCCTTCTCCACCATGGCTGTCAGGTCGGGCAGTCTGTCCTCCTGGCACTCAGGGACTTCTGGCCCCAAACTCACCTGGGCAGCAAATTGCAGTGCCCACTACTCCCTGCCCTGCTAGCTCAGCCCCGCAACCTCGCCCCTCGAACCCAGCTCTGTGGCGTGAGATAACTGCCCTGCCAGTGGCCCAAGGCAGGAGGGAACCACAGAGGCTCCCACGCCACCCTGGCTGAGCTAGGCCCCAAGACGGACACCGGAGCTCTGTAGGCTGGAAGAGCCTGGGGGACTGAGCTGCAAGGAGGCCTCAGACACCCACCAGGCCAGACGGAGGTCCCACTCAAGGAGGGCCCTGCCCACTCGCCAAAGCAGCCTGTCTGCGGAGCCTGATGCCACGCCAGCAGAGCGGCCTCGAGCCCCAGCAGCAGGGCAGCAACTCAGTGCTAGCCCAGCTCAGACCCCAGGGTCTCCACACAGCCCAGCAGGGGCAGCTCAGGAGCCAAGCCCACACAGCCTGGCCCCGGGGACCGTGGGCACCCAGGCAGCTTGGAGGAGAGAGGCCCCCCAACACAGACTGCGGTGTGTGCTTCCTGGCGGCCTCAGCCCCTTCAGAGCCCCAGTGCCTGTCTCAGGCCCTCACCCTGGGGGGTCCCAAGCAAGTGGGCAGCCTCTCACGCACACAGAGGAGCAGGGACTGGGGGATCCAGAGAGGCCAGGTGGGACCAGGCTCCTCTCAAACAAACCTGAGCCCTGAGGCTGGAGCCATCACTGACCACCCCCAGCTCCAAGGGAGGGACAGACAGTCCAGGGGCCCCCCATTCTTTCCTGCTGGGTCCACCGAGGCCAGCTGCCTGCTCCAGGCCTTCTCCCCACCCCTCCCCTGCACTGTCGGGTCATTCTCTGCTAGGAGCTGAGGGTGAAAGCAGGAAACACACTCAGGCCTGTGGGTGGGGACGCCCACCTCAGGGGCCATCCCACCTGGACCCCTCCACCACAGTCTGGGGTCACACCGCGCCTAGGCAGCTGGATGGCAGGCAGCAGCATTGCCAAATGCCACCAGCCCAGGCATGTGGGTGGCTAGGCTGGGCCAGTCCAACCTCAGCCCCGTCTATGGACTCCACTGCTCACAATGCACGTCTCCCAGGACAGCAGCGAGGACGCAGAAAGCGTGGGCTAAATGCTGTTGTGCTGTGTACGGCGGGAAGTGGCCTTGGCTGTGTGTCCCGCTGAGGTGCTGGGCACGTGTGCACCCACCCCACCCCACAGCAACCTGGGAGTGAGCACACATCTATCCCAGGCACGGATGGGGCCTGAGGACACAGGTTGGGGGGGCAGGCGACAGGCACCATCACCACCCTCTCCCAGCCTCAGCGGCAGGAGTGACGCGGCCTCCTGGTGGGCAGCTGCTGGTCCCACCTGAGCTTTGCAGATAGAAACACAGGCTGAGCCAGGACCAGAGCGCAGGTCCCGCTGAATCCCGGCCCGGCTCAGCCCGTGCCCCGCCCCGCAGCCCTCCCGGTCCGCGGCTGCCCTGTTTCCAGGGCAACGCCCAGGGTGGGCGGGGCTCAGCAGCTCAAACTTCAGTCACGGGTTTTTTTCTGGTCCCTCGCCCTGAAGTGACCCCTCCTCTAGCAGGAAGCGCCCTGGGCACCCACCCTCCCCCGCCTGAAGCCTGCCCTGACCACCAGAGGATCCACAACGCCTCCTTCTATGAAACCAGCACCTCACCCCCCTGGCCCCGTACCAGACCCTCCCCAGCCCAGGGAGTCTGTCGCGACATTCCCTGCCCAGGAGAGAGAGGCCCTCACCAGCCACCCGTCCCCGCTGGCCGGCACAGTGCCCCGCCCCCCACCAGGCTCCCTCCCACCCCGCTCGCCTACGGAGGCCCGGGCTCAGGCCCCAGCCTGCGCCCGCCCCACACAATCGCAGGGGACACACCAGCCAGGCCGAGGCAGGCGCAGGCTCCCCAGAGTCCTCGAGTAGCGCCTGGTCAGGGCTGAGGACAGGCCTGGGCCCGCAGGAGCCTCGGCACACATGTGGTGGGGGCTCGGGGAGATGCGTAGAGCCAGAGGCCGGAGCGGCCTCCAGGTCTCAGGGCCTCTGCGGGGAAACGGAGGGATGGGAAGCGCACACACTCGGAATTCCAGGAATGTCAGCTTGGCCCAGGCCGGAGTTGGGATGGCAGCTCCCTCCCCGCGCCCCGCGCTCCGAGTAAACAACTCCTGCAGGCAGGAGCAGGGGCGGGACAGGCCCTGGACCCTCCTCCAGGAAGCCTCCGGGCCTCCACCCACTCCCCAGGGCCCACCCGGCTGACATCCGGACCCCGCTGCCTCCCTCACCTCCACAGCCACCAGCAGCCTCTGCAGCTGAGCCCGGCTCTGACCCCAGGCCACGGCTACTCACGGCCCCTGTCCTGCCCCTCTGCCCAGAGCAGGATGTGCGTCCACCCATCCTGGGGGGAGGGGGCGGGGAAGGGAAGTGGCCTCGGCTCGTGGCTCTGCACGTGGCTGGGTGGGGTACAGCAAATGCCACCGGGGAAGCTGCTCACGGCTCCGGCCAGGGTGGGAGCACAAACCCCAAGTGTGCAGTGGATGTGGCCAGCACCACTCTGGACCCAGGAAACCCTTCATCCCCCTCCCCTGCAGCTAAGGCCGACCCAGGTTGTCCTGAGAAAACGGCAGAGGATGAGCACAGGCCCAACCCAGCCAGAAGCCCCAGGCCGGCACGCCAGCCCAGAGCCTCCTGGGGCGCCACTTCGCAGCACACCGACCCCCCACAGCCCACCTCGCACCTCCAAGGAGCCTCCCTTTGCCGCTCACTGCACACCGACCTCCTCATTCCCCACCCCACCCCGGGGGCACAGCCCCGCGCCCCCTCCCGCGCACTCCATCCGAGAGTCCCGGGCACCTCCTCTAGGCCTCTGTGGGCCTGGGCTCCAGGGCAAGGCAGAGCCGAGCGGGTCCTGCCCGTGCAGCTGCGGGAGTCTGCCCAGGGGTCCCCTGTGCCGGGGTCTTCAAGGTTCAGCGCCTCTTCCGCGACCTCCCTCCCGGGCCCCCTCGCCCCGTGCTCAGAGGCGCGTCTGAGCGTCGGGGACCCGGGACGACGGGAGGCCCAGCAGAGCCGCGACCCAGCGGGCCTACCCGGACCCCCTACCCGGGAAGGAGCGGGAAGGACGCGGACAGCGGCCCGGGGGCAGGGGGCGGCCGGCGGGGGCCGTAACCGCGCGGCCGAGACCAGGGTGGCGCCCCTAGGGGCCGGGCCGCGGCCAGAATGGGACCCCCGGACACCCCGCGCGCAGAGGCCGAGGCGGAGGGACCCTCTACCCGGCGCGGCCAGGAGGGGCGGCAGGAAGACCCTCCGCGGCCGCCGCCCGCCCTGTCCCCGAGCCCCGCGCGGGACCCCACTTGTTGCTGCGTGTCGGCTCCGGGCTCGAACTCCCTCGCCCCCCTCACGTGCGGGTCCAGAAGCTCCAGGTCGGACGCCTCGGGCCGCGGGACACTGGCCGCGCGCTCCCCACCCCCGGGCGCGGTACCTGCGCCGCCGCGTCCCGCTCCAGCCGTCCGCTCCCGCCGCGCAGCTGTCAGTCAAGCGGACACGAGAAACGCGAACCGCCGCTGCGGAAGACGTTTGGCCCCGATTAGACCCCGTAGCCCCGGGGCGAACCAAGACGGCGGGCGGGGGGGGGTCGCCATCTGCTGCTGCCGGGGCCGCGCGGACCCAGCAGCCCCGGGACGCACGGGGAAAGCTCATCCCGGCGGAAACTGTGGGCAACGACGCCAGGGCTGGTGGGGGAACGGGCGGGGCAGCGGAGAACGAGCGGAGCCGGTCCCCCCGCGACAGTGGACGCTCCCGGGGCGGGGCCTGGGGGGGGATCTTCCCGTGTCGCCGGGCCCCGCCGGGTAGTCTGGGACGCGCCGCCGCCATGATTATTCCCGTGCGTTGCTTCACCTGTGGCAAGATCGTCGGTAACAAGTGGGAAGCCTACCTGGGGCTCCTGCAGGCCGAATACACCGAGGGGTGAGGCGCGGGCCGGGGGCCGGGGCCGGGGGCCTGGGGCTGGGGCCGGGGAACTGGGGCCTGGGGCTGGGAACCGGGGGCCAGGGGACTGGGGCCGGGGCTGGGAACCGGGGGCCGGGGCCGGGGAACTGGGGCTGCGGCCGGGGAATTGGGGCTGGGGCTGGGGCCGGGGCCGGGGAACTGGGGCTGGGGAACTGGGGCCTGGGGCCGGGGCCGGGGCCGGGGAACTGGGGCTGGGGCCGGGGACGGGGAACTGGGGCTGGGGCCGGGGAACTGGGGCCTGGGGCTGGGAACCGGGGGACTGGGGCTGGGGCTGGGAACCGGGGAACTGGGGCTGGGGCTGGGAACCGGGGGACTGGGGCTGGGGCTGGGAACCGGGGGCCGGGGCCGGGGAACTGGGACTGGGGCTGGGGCTGGGAACCGGGGAACTGGGGCTGGGGCTGGGAACCGGGGGCCGGGGGCCGGGGGACTGGGGCTGCGGCCGGGGACGGGGGGCCTGGGGCTGGGGACTGGGGCCGGCCGAGGGTGCGGGCCGGAGCGGGAGGCGCAGCGCTGTCTGGGGCCGGCGCTCCCGTGGGCAGCTTCAGGCCCAACTGCTCCAGCTCCGCTCTCTGACCTGCTCTCGGGAGAACGTTGTTCCCTGAAGTCTGGGGAGAGAGGGGAGCTGGGCTTCAAGCCAGTGGTGTCCTGGCGGGTCGCACGCGCCTGGTCCCCCGCAGTAAGGCCCGGGCCTCCGCCCCGATCTCCTGTCTGCTCCCAGGCCCACCCCGTGTCCTGCAAGCCTCGCTCCAGGGCGGGCGGGCGCGGCGGCTCAGGCCCGTAATCCCAGCATTTCGGTAGGTCAGGGCGGGAGGGCTGCTTGAGCCCCGGAAGTCGGACCAGCCTGGGGAGACCCTGCTCCCGGGAGGTTTTTTTTTAAGCTGGAGTGCAGCGGCTCCATCTCCGCTCGCTGCAACCTCCGCCTCCCGGGTTCCAGCAATTCTCCTGTCTCAGTCTCGCGAGTAGCTGGAATTACAGGCGACTGCCACCATGCTTAGCTAATTTTTGTATTTTTAGTAGAGACGGGGTTTCACCACGTTGGCCAGGTCTGGTCTGGAACTCCTGACCTCAGGTGATCTGCCTGCCTCAGCTTCCAGAAGTGCTGGGATTACAAGCGTGAGCCACAGCGCCTGGCCCTCTTGGTTTTGTTCTTAACTCCTGGGGCGCGGTGGCACGCACCTGTGGTCCCAGCTACTTGGGAGGCTGAGGCCAGAGAATAGCTTGAGCCCGGGAGGCAGGCGGAGGTTGCAGTGAGCCGAGATCATGCCACTCCAGCCTCAATGAGAGAATAAGACTCCGTCACACACAAGACCCGGAGCCAGTGGCTCACGCCTGTGATCCCAGCACTTTGGGAGGCTGAGGCAGGCAGATCACAAGATCAGCAGTTCGAGACCAGCCTATCCAACATAGTGAAACCCTGTGTCTACTAAAAATACAAAAAAAATTGTGGGTGGTTTTGGGCTCCTGTAAACTCAGCTACTTGGGAGGCTGAGGCCGGAGAATTGCTTGAACCCAGAGGCAGAGGTGCAGTGAGCCAAGATTGCACCACTGCACTCCACCGAGACTGCACCACTGCACTCCAGCCCGGGTGACAGTGCAAGACTCCATCTCAAAATAAAATAAAATAAATGTAGGGCAGACTGGCTGCCCACCCTTGCCGTCGGACTTTGAGGGGCAGGCATCCTTCTCCTGCGCTTGTCCCTCGGTAATGCTGTCGCCACTGTGCCCGAGTCTTGGCGCCCTGCTGGAGTCTGACCTGTGGCCACTGTGTCTTGGTCATATGTGAAGCCTGGGTGTGTGTGTGTGCCAGCCTGCCATAGGCGCTCAGTGCAGCTGGCCCTGTGAATGAGGAAAGGGAATGGACGGGCTGAGTGGGCTGCTAGAGTGAGTGGCTAGCGGCCTGTCCAGACCCTTCCCCAGGGATAGGAAGGGCAGGGGCCTCCCACGTGGCTGCCTCTTTCCCAAGCTTCTGTCTCCACACACTGGAGCCATCCGTGTGGGAATTTTCTGGAGGTCTTGAGAGTGACTGGAGCTAGGTCCCAGGGAAAGCTTCTGATTGACTTGGAAATGAGAGAGGCGGCTCCCTGGAGAAGCAGTCTTTCCCTGACCGAAGGAAGCAGAGGTGAGGAAAGACCCCACAGCAGCAGAGTAGGGCTTGCTAAGGGCAGGCCCCTGGAGAGCCACCCTGCTGTGGCTGGTGCTGGATGTGGGGAGCTGCACATCAGCAGCCTGGTCTTCTGAGCTCCCCCAAATCACTTGTATTCATCTTATTTACATTTCTTACATATGTTATACACACAGATGTACAGCCAGAGTAGGTGGGAGAAGAGGCTCCTTCCGATCCACCCGGATTAGATCTGGTCACCTTGCCGGTAGCAGGGGGCTGAGGCCAGCAGGCAGTGCCCACAGGTAAGCTGGACGTGGAGCTCAGCCGGCCTCTCTGCTTCTCCCGTTGGCACAGGGATGCCCTGGACGCCCTGGGCCTGAAGCGCTACTGCTGCCGCCGGATGCTGCTGGCCCACGTGGACCTCATCGAGAAGCTGCTCAATTACGCGCCCCTAGAGAAGTGACGTTGCCGGAGCCCGCCCGCCTGCCATGCCAACCATGGGCTGTGATCGTCCTGCCCCGAGTTCACAAGACTGAGGCATCTAGGGATGCCTGGCTGCAGCGTGTGGATTGTGTCCTGTCCCCAACTCTGGAAGGAACCATCCAGTAAAGGTCTTTTAGAACCACCAAGGTCCCAGCCCTCACTAGGATGTCAGGGGCCGGGACTGGGCCCAACTCTCACACTGCAGCAGCCCAGAGAAGCAGGCAGGACCCCTGCTAGCCCCGGGTCAGCCTGTTCCAGTCACCCCTGAAGGAGGCATGGCCAGGAGAGTCTTCCACTTTGGGGCTGTTGGAGGCCCCTGGGTTCTGGGAGCTCTTGAGGCCAAGCACAGAGGCTCCTGTACCCTCTCTCTTGGAATCTGAGGAACAGGATCTAGGCCGGGCAAGGGGGCTCCCCCTATAATGCTTGCACTTTGGGAGGCTGAGGCAGGAGGATCACTTGAGTCCAGGAATTGAAGACCAGCCTGGGCATCCTAGTGAGCCCCCATCTCTACAAAAAAATGTAATAAATGAGCTGGTACAGCCTTGGCACCTGTAGTCCCAGCCACTCGGGGCTGAGGCAGGAGGATCACTTGAGCCTGGGAGGTTGCTGCTGCAGTGAATGGTGGAACCACTGCACTCCAGCCTGGGCAACAGCGTGACACTCTCAAAACAGCTATATAAACGAAAAAAGAAACCAGATCTGGGGCTCGAACAATCTCAGCTGTGGTCACGGCTACCCGCACCTGCTGACCCCTGCCTGCTGCTGCCTGACCTTGAGGGTCTCCCCCAAGCCTAGCAGGGAGTATAGGCCAGGTTCCTGTAAAAGAGAAGGCAGCACCAGCCTTCAGATGCCCCTAGCTGGGCCGGGAGGTGGCCCTGATGTCCAGGCATTGCTGCCAGCAAGCACCCCAGGTCAGATGGCCCTGCTGCCCAGATACCTGGCATGGTGTCCTCTGCTGGAGGAGAGTGGGGTCTGCTTGGGGGTCTACAGTTCTGAGCCTTAGAGACAGGGCATGGGCAGTGGGGGGTACAGTGACCAGGCCCTGGCACCTCCTGCCCTCTGGCCCCCAGTAGGTATTATAAGCTCCTCCATGTGAATCCCCTACTGCCCCCACCCCATCTGCCTAGCGCCTCTTACTCAGGCATGGCCCCCAAACTGCACCTTCCCACATCAGCTCCCCACTGTGGCCAGAAGCATCTTTGGAAACCATTTTCCACTCCCTCAGGGGCTCTGCACACCATCTAGCCATTTAGGAGCCTGCGTGCTCAGTTCCACTGTGAGGCCTGTGCTCGCCGTCCCTGCCATCAGGCCTCCCTGCTCTGGAGCCCCATGAGGGGTTTGCTCTCCTGGCTCTGCCCTTTGTCTTGATGTTAACAGTGGGTGCCTATCCTGAGGACAGACCACCATCTCCCAGCACATCGAGCTCGCCTGTCTGTTCCACAAGTGTTTATTGAGCACCTGTATGTGGCAGGGACAGTTGTAGGCATCTGGGACACAGCAGTGAATAAGCCCCCGCCCCACACAGGCACAGCAGTGACCACACAGCATCTCGGGTGGGGGTGTCAGTGGTGGGAAAGTGCAGGGGGTCTGGCTGTCAGGGCAGAGGAGCCCTGAGTCGGGAGGGGCAGAGGTGCAGGCCCAAGGGTCAGAGCTCACAAGGCAAAACCCCAGTACCTGAAGGGAACACCTGGCCCTGCCCCACTCACCAAGGCCCCTTCCAGCCTGCTTCTGACCGCCAGGCGGGGTGTGTCCACCCCACCCCCCATGCCATCACACAGCCAGCGCCCCCGCTGCTGGGCTCAGGCCTCCGGACTTTGGTGTGCAGCAAAAGGCACTTGAAGCTGCCTCTGGGGTTTGGGTCCCCAGAGGCCCTGGCGATAGCACAGGGTGGGAGGCATCGGGAGCCCAGCCCTGGCGCTCAGTAGTCTCAGCTCAGTAGTTGGGTGCAGCAGCAGCAAGGCACCTCCAGCGTGGCCAAGCCCGGGGCAGGGTCAGTAGTGCTCCAGCTTGAGGCTCCTGTACAGGCAGCAGGTGAAGATCATCCCGAAGACCTGTGTGCAGAGCCGAGCAGGCGTACGTAAGCAGATGCCACGGGGCCACCTGCCCGAGTCCCCAACAAGGTCACCGTCACCCCCACGGGCCCTCACCTGCACACAGGCAATGCCAACGCCCACAGCCCCAATGACCCTCAGGTGCTCCTGGATGAAGGTCTCCAGCTTGGTGATGCAGCCGCCCTGTGGGATCCCAATAGGGGCTGCAGGTGTGCCCAGGGGGCATGTCCCATGGCCCTCACTGCCTCCAGGGTGTTCCAGGCTCCCCCTAGCACCCAGTGAGTCAGGTCCCTGCCAGTGCAGGCTCTCAGTGGGCTGTCTCCCACCTCCTCGTAGATATTAGAGGGTGGTCCCCTGCCCACCTCCACCTTGTAGATGTTGGAGGCGTGGTCACGCTGCCCACAGCCAGCCACCACCGTCTTGCAACAGCTATCGGGGACCACACGGCCACCGGCCTCCCCTGAGCGGATCCACTCGCTGTCCCGCCAGTCCTGTGAGTTGTTGCTGCCACAGCAGTGGAACTGCATCAAGAACAAGGCTGGGGTGAGTCCAGGGAGGCTCTGGGGACGAATGTGCCCCTCCCAGCACCGCCCACCCACCTCCTGCTGCAGCTGGTCCACAGCGTTGGTCACACCCTCGTGGCCCGGCTGGTGGTAGCGCTTGGTCATGGTGTCCTTCAGGTTCTCCTTGAGCTCCGTGTTCAGCTGGGGTTGGGGTGCAGGAAACTTCAGCCTCAGTCTAAGACTCTCCAAGGTGGGGCTGGCAGAGCCCCAGGATGGCAGGGGAGAGGCCCAGGGCCTGGCTCACACCGAAGGGAAGGGCTGGGGCTGGACCTCAGGATGAGGGGAGGTTGGGTGGGGCGGGGTGACTAGAGTGAGTGTGGCAGAGGCAGAGAGGGCTTCCGGATCCCCTGGACACCAGCCCGACCTCATGTTCCCCTGCAGAGACCTAGACTCCACCTCCAGGGCCCAGTGGCACGTGGGTCAGCTCTGGCACTGTGGGGGTGGGGCTGGTGGTAGTCACGTGTGTATCAGCATGTGTATGCCCCACCTGTGCATGTCTGTGTCTGAATGGCCTGCCCAGGCCCCTCACCTGCTGGTAGTAGGCGTAGGCGAGGACACCAGCGATGATCTCCAGCAGAAAGATGATGAGGAGCAGGATGAAGTACTGGGGGGACAAGGACACCTCTGTTCTGAGGCCTAGTGTCTGGGCACCTCAGCAGAGCCCCCATCCTGGCTTTCCAGGCTCCAGGTGGGGTCTGAGGGGCTGCCAGGCTCCCTGAGGCTTGCTTTCGGAGCTGGTGGCTTCCCTCAGGTGATCTAGCAGGAATATGGGGACCCATAGGACTCGGCAGGTGGGGAAGGACCGTGCCCCACCCCAACCTGGGCCAGGTGAGCACAGCAAGGCACAGGTTCAAAGCCCCCTTGGGCCCCATCCGCACTCCCCGACCCATGGCCTCCGCCCTGCTGACCAGGCGCAGCAGGTTCCGCCTCTCCTTGAAGGTGGCACAGCAGCCCAGGACCCCAGTCACCATGACGACAGCACCCGCCACCACCAGGATGTAGGCTGTGGCCAGATACGTGCCGGAGGCCAGCAGGCTGATGTAGTCACTCTTGAGGGCCAGCGTCCAGATTCCCACTGCCATGACGGCCAGGCCGGCCAGCTACAAGCCAGTAGGTGCTGGTCACCGAGTCTGCCTGGGTCTGAGGGTGGCGCAGGACGGGGGACGGACACGGGGCAACGCCTCCTCACCCAAAAGCAGCAGTTGTAGGTAAACAGCAGGTACTTGAGGCAAACGGTGCCACATGTTGCCTTTTCGTTGAACTCTCCCATCCTGGGGCTGGGGAGGCACAGGAGGGGTCAGCAGGGCCACAACACCAGACCCGTGACAGGAGGACAGCTAGAAAGAGGGGACACAGATGCCCAAGCCAGCCCAGGACTGGGGTGGAGCCAGCCGCTCTCCTGGGAGGCCTGCGAAGGAGCCCCCACGGGAACAGGACGTGAGCCACTTACCTAGCGACTCATGAGCCTCACGCAGTACAGCCAGGATAGAGCCCTGGTGACCCCAGACAGGACGGGGGTCATGTAGGGCCTCCAACCATCACTGCTGACTCACCCCAGCAGACAGCCGGGGGAGGAGGCCCTAGCAGGTCCCTCCAGTGAGCTCAGGCCGGTCTGCCCGCCCCCCATAGCATTCCCAGGGGCCCACGTCACAGGCTGGTAGTCTACAGGCCTGCAGTGAGGGTGGAGGAGGCCACTCAGAGAAAGCGGAGGGGTGGGGTGCAGACAGCAGCTGAGCGCCCCGGGCGGCGTTTCCAGACAGCACAGCCAAGCCTGGACTTTAACTGCCCCGCCTGCTCTGCCCCACCCTGCCCAGCACTCCACAGCCAGCTGGGAACGACTCCTCGGTAGGACAGGTGGACAGAAGCTCCCCAGGAGTCTAGGCTAGAGGGACAAGGGCACGTCAGGTCACAGGTTGCAGGTCTGGCCCAAGGGCCAGAGTGCGCGAGGTTCATTCTGGAGGCAGAATAGGACTGGCCAAGCCTGGTATTTTGGTCTGGGCTAGGGTGGGGCAAGGCAGAGGACATTTCTTTGTTTTTCTTTTTTACTTTTTTTTTTTTTTGGTGGGGGAAGGGGAGGAAATGGAGTCCCGCTCTGTCACCAAGCTAGAGTGCAGTGGTGCGATCTCGGCTCACCGCAACCTCCTCCTGGTTCAAGCCATTCTCCTGCCTCAGCCTCTCGAGTAGCTGGGATTACAGGCACCTGCCACCACACCTGGCTAATTTTTGTATTTTCAGTAGAGACGGGGTTTCATCCTGTTGGCCAATCTGGTCTTGATCCCTTGACCTCGTGATCCGCCCACGTCAGCCTCCCAAAGTGCTAAGATTACAGGTGTGAACCACCACCTCGCCCAGTGATTTTGTTTTTTTCTGCTCTGATCACCCAGACTGGAGTGAAATGCCTGGATCTCAGCTCACTGCAGCCTTCACCTCCTGGGTTCAAGCAGTTCTCCTGCCTCAGCCTACTGAGTCGCTGGGATTACAGGCGCCTGCCACCTCTGCCAGCTACTTTTCGTATTTTTAGTAGAGACAGCGTTTGGCCACGTTGGCCAGGCTGGTCTCGAACTCAGGTCACCCACCCGCCTTGGCCTCCCAAGGCAGAGGACATTTCTGGCCTTACCTCCAGACCCATCGCTGGCCTTCCCCACCCCGGCAAACAGCAGCAGCCACAGCCTGGGAAAGAGGCACCATGGAGCTGGGGGGGGTCCAGACCTGACCACTGAGCTGAGAGTCACCCTCCGTGACGGAGCTGGGGCCTAATACACGAGGAGTGGCAGGAGCAGACCCTGCCACTGAGCCGGGGGGACCTGCCCCTGGCCTGGCTGTGAGGTCCCAAGCCTTCTGGGGAGGCTGGTTCTGGGCACAGATGCAGCCTCCACCGCCAGGACGCAGGCGACCCGCTGAGGAGTGGCCGCTCTTCCCAGGAATGCCTGGTCCCCGCGAACCGCCTGGGACAAGGCCGGCCAGAAATAGCTCTCCGGCCCTCCCCCAGTCCCCGGGAACTGCACCAGGCCCCCGGGCGGCCCGCGCCCCATCAGGGAGAGCCCCCACAGGGGGGACCCCGGACTCCGCGCCAGCCAGGCGTCCCCGGCACTGCAATGAGGTCACCGACCCCGCCCGGCGCGGCCAATGGCGCGCCCACTTGCACGCGGGCGGAGGGAAGGGGGCCGTGTCCAGAGACAATGAGCGGGGTGTCCAGGCTGGGCGTCCCGGGGCCGCTGGGACGAAGGGGGTCGTCAGGCCCGTCCGGGGCCCCGGGAGGCGACTCTCCCACCCGCCCGCCGCCGCCTCCGCGGAAGGGCCTGCGAGGAAGCTGGGCAGGCGGTGGGCGCGGCCTCCCGGGCTCCCCGGGCGCCTGCGGCGGGGCCTCGGGTACTGGGGCGCGCAGGACCTTCGGCCCCCTCGGCCGCCTCGGCCCCCTCGCCCCGCTCGGCCGGCGCCGCGCACTCACTTACCCACCACGCGTCGGAGTTCGGGCCTGGGCGGCGGCGGCGGCGGCGGCGGCTGCGGGGGCGGCTCCCAGCGCGGAGAATGCGCAGCCCGGGGCCTGCGAGGAGACGCCCCGCCCCGGCCCCGCCCCAGGTCTCAGGCCCCGCCCCTTCCCCGTCCCCGGTCCCGCCCCAGGCCTCAGGCCCCGCCCCTTCCCATCCCCGGCCCCGCCCCAGCCCGCAGGCCCCGCCCGCGGTGGCAGAAGCCCGGCAAGTCTGAACCCGCGTGGCGAGCGGCAGCCGGTGGGTGCAGGCGCTGGGGGTCGACCCCGCACTGCGGGGGCCGGGCGAGCTGCAGCCCTGAGGGCGCCAACAGCCCATCAAGGGTCCACCCTAGCCAGGGACGGAGGAGCTGAGCGGGAGGCGGGCCCGGAGTTATGGCGGCGACCAGTGCAGCCAGAGGCCCCACGCTGTGGCGGCCGGGCCCAACCCCATCTCTTTCTCCGCACCCTGGAACCGCCCAGAGGCTTCAGGGGTCGGCAGAACGGTTGCCGGCCTGGGGTAGGGGAGGGCCTGGCGCTGTGGGCAGATGCAGGAGAGACACTAGGCTGCGGAGACCCGGGCAGGCCTGGGGTCGCAGCCAGAGATACTGGCAGGGGCCACTGGGAGTGGTGCGAGCAGGTGAGGGAGGAAGGGCAGGACCGGCCTAGGGCGGCACCAGGAAGCCAAGAGTGGGAGTGAGGAAGGAGGTGGCTCCCCCCCTCCGCCCCCCGAACTCATTCATCACTGACACAGATGAGGACTGGGCAAGACAATGGGGAGCCCTGACCCACACACTGTGCAGGGCCCTGTGGGGCTCCAGCCTTGATGAGTAGTATGCGTTGGGGGGTATGACCAGGGACACAAGAGGACACACAAGGACCTCAGCCCTGGTGCCGCAGGCCCACGTGGTCACCCACACGGCACGCGTGCACAGTGGCCACCCATGCAACGGGCACACACAGGCTGCGGCTCCCAGACGCAGGAAGGCCAGGAGGATGCAGTGCAGGCAGTGGGTTTATTTGATCGGGGGTTTTCTGCTGAACTGAGATGGGGTTGACTGAATGGGGACAGAATGAAGACTGGCAGAGGGCACACGGGACCCTGACCACTGGAGGCCCCTGACCACTCCAGGCTAGTTCTTCATGTCTTCGGTCAGGCAGGCCTGGGGCCCCCTGGGGAGAGCCCGCATCCTGAGCAGGCATCCCCCCACCCATGACAAGTCTCCTGCCAGCGCAGCTTCCAGCTGACGCTCCGTCAGTCACTCAGGGCTGGTCACCGAGCACTGGGAAGGTGGCCAGAGCCTCGTCTCGGGGGCCGAGTCCAGCAACAGCAACAACAGCAGCAGGTGGGCCCAGGCAGGCGGGCCGTGGTCAGAGCCTTCCTGCGGCTGCTGCCCGCCCGCCTGGCCTCGAAGGCGTCCCTGTCGTCTCGAAGCCGCGTGTTCAGCTCCCTAGGGAAGGAGGAGTCCGACACTGAGCGGGTCTGAGGGAGCGCAAGGCGGGGGAGGTGGGCTCTGACTCCCCTCAGACAGAAGAGAGGTGTCTGGCTGGGACTGCAGCATGAGGGGTGAAAGGCAGACATAAGGAAGGACTTCCAGTGGAGCAGGGTGGTAGCCAAGAATGTTGGGAGCTTGGAGCCCCCAGGCTCCGCTGAGCCCTTCCCTCGCCGGCCTGAGCCTGGCCGTACCTGAGCAACTCCAGTTGCCGTAGCAGGCTGACTTTCTCTTTCTGCATGTTCCTGGAGACGGCGACCACGTCTCTGTGGGTGGGAGGTGGTGACCCGGCTGCAGGAAGGCCACTGGGGAGCCCCAGGACCCCCTAGAAGACCCTTCCTCCCACAGAGCGGGGCTGGGACTTTGAGGTGGGGATCAAAGTGGCGCAGACCTGAGCGCCCGTCGGCCCGTCCCCTGGGACACGCCCCAGGGCCCGCCCCAGCCCCGTTCCCCGGCACCGTTGGGTTTGCTCCTGGCGGCCTCGCGCTTCGTCCTCCAGCCTGCGGATCTGTTCCTGCGCTCCTTCCAGCTGCGCTCGCATCGCCTCGTGCGCCCGCCACAGCTGGGAGTTCTGGGCCTGCGCCTCCAGGTGCTCCGCAGCCCGGACCCGCAGCTGCTGCTCCAGCTGGAGGGATGGAGACCGGCGAGGAACGCTCCCTCTTCCCCGGGGTGCTGCGCGTGCCCAGGCTCCCGACAACCCGCGGGCCGGGGACGCTGAGGCACAGGGGAGCGTGCACGGCTGGCTGTGGGGACGGGGCAGGCGCCGGGCGCTCACCTCCCGCTGCCGCAGGTCCGCGCGTTCCAGGTCCTGCTCGCGACCCTGCAGCTCCAGCTCCAGGCGGCTTCTCCGCTCCCCGCGGGCGAAGTTCTGGGACGCACGGAGGACCACTGAGCCTTCGCCGGCCGCCCGGGAGTGCAGAGGAGGCACACGGAGGGCCAGGGGCTGGGAGGGGGCCAGGACGGAGCGGGGTCTCCCTGGACTGGGGGCAGCAGGGACCCGCAGAGGTGGAGCCCTCGGGGTGGGGTTAATTCGGGGAAGGCGGAGCCAGCGGGGCCAGCGCGGTGGGATTGGGCCTGGCGGGAGGGCGGGGCCCGAGGCCCACCTGACTTGGCGGGCGCCGGCTTTGCTCGCGAAGCTGCTCCATCTCCTCGTACAGAGCGCGCACCTCCCGCTCGTGCTCGCTTTCGCGCCTTCGGGGGACAGGGAGACCTGGATGAGAACTTTCCGGCGCTACAGGCCCCCAGCACCGACTCTGCTGCTGCCTGAGGCCCTCCGCTGGCCCCCAGACCCCACCCGGCGCTCACCTCCGCAGCGCCTGCTCCAGGCCGTCGCGCTCCCGGGCCGCCTCCTCCAGGCAGGCCGACGCGCGTATCAGAACGTCCTCGAAAGAGCTCAGCAGCTCCGGGCGCTCGCGTTGCAGCTGGGCCCAGAGCGACCTCACAGCCCGCTGCCTGGAGGGCGGGCGAGAACTGAGGCTGCAGCTGGCAGAGGCGGGGAACAGGCTCCCCTCCGCCCACGGCAACCCCTGGAGACTCCTTGGTCCCGGACCCGACAGGAGCGCTTGACGCGTGCAGAGCATCCCTCCCTTGAGCGCTTTCGCCGCTGCCCAGCGTGGGCGGCCGGTGAGGAGTGTGTACCCGGGCAGGGCTGGTCTGTGGCCCCGCTCCCGGCGCCGCCCCTCCTCCCTGCAGCCCTGGCTGCTGCCTCCTGAAATGCAAATTCTGCGGGAAATCACGACGGGTCCCTCCCAGGGTGTCGCAGCTGACGCTGGGCTGGGCCTGAGCCTGTGCGGGACCCGCACTCGGGTGACAGGGGCAGACAGCAAGCAGGCAGAGAAACAGGAGGGCGGGGTGGCAGGGCCAGCGCCGACTCACTCGCCCAGGACGGGGGCCACCCCCAGCTGCTCCAGCGCAGTGTGGAATCGCTCCTCCTCTTCCTCCTCCTCCTCCTCCTCGTCCAGAGAGCCCCCCGTGCCCTGCTCGTCCAACCAGCCCGACTCAAAGGTCTCCTCGGGACTCCTGCCGGGGGGTTCTCCCTGGGTCGACTGCACCCCCACAAACATCCCTGCAGGCATGGAGCGAGCATTACCGGGGCTGTGGGTCACCGCCCTGGCTCCGTCCCGTTCACCCTCCCAGCAAGTATCCTGGCCTCTCTCAGGGCCCAGTTTCCTGTTTTTCTTCCTTGTTCTGGTCCTATTGGCCTGGGAACAGGCAGGCCGGGTCCCAGCCCCACGGGGCATAGCACAGGAGAGGAGTCGGCAGGAAGATCAGCTTCCACACACTCCGCAGAGCTGGGGACCCCAGGCGCCAGGGCGTACAGACACCAGCACTGGCCCTGGAGGGAGGAGGAGCGCAGGCAACCCTCAGGGGCCACAGGCACCCAGCCTCCCCATGGGTGCTCCAGCCTCTGGGCGGTGGGGAATGGGTGGGTCTCAGGCTCACCCAGGCCCAGGCAGAACTCCCGGGGGGTGAGGAAGCCAGTGTGAGCCTGGTCCAGACTTTCAAACACGGCCTCCAGCTGCTCAGGCGTGAGGGGGAGGTCACTCTGGAGACCCTGGTCAGGGAAGGACAGCACGGATGAGCCACTGAGGTCTGCCCCGGGTTGAGGCAGTCTCTTAGGGCCAGGGACTCACCTGCAGGTCGTGCCTGGTGATGAAGCCCTTGGCCTCCTTGTCACATAGCAGAAACAGCTCCTGGGCCTGCTCCAGCATGGCAGCCCGGGGCTCTGCACGGCCTCCCTCCAGTTCCCCCTCCTCCTCCTGGACCTCATCAGCCCCAGGCTTTCCCAGGCTGGCCATGGGAACAGGGGGCCTCAGCCTGGCCTTCAGGTGCTGTGAAGCCAAGGGAGAGTCAGAAGAAATTCGGGAGGGGAGCTGCTGGGGTGCAAGTGTGTCTGAAGGGTCAGCTGCAGGCCCTCCCTGCAGCAGGTGGGAAGGTGGGCAGAAGGCAAGGTGGGGCCAGGGGGCTGAGGCTGTCACTGGGGCGGGTGAAATAGGCTCAGGGCCTGTGGGTGCTGCCCCGATGGGCCTGGCATCTCAGGAAGCTGGGACCCAGGGAGAGGCGAGAGCCCCAGGAGGAGCTGCCCAGTTCAGGATGGGAAGCTGGAGGTGGGGGCAGTCTCAGGGGCCGGTGGAGACCTGGTGATGGGAAAAGTGGCTCCTGAAAGCTGAGAGGGGCAGGCTTGGGGTCAGTCTGCAGTTGGAGATCTGATCCCAAGTGAGGGTTCAGCCAGCCCTGACCAAGTCCTTGGCCCCTAGGCTGGGCCTGGGTGGCCCAGCCTCATGACAGCTGGCAGCCGGGGCAAACTCCTCCCTCCTGCCCACCAGCCCCTCCCTCCCCACAACTAAGCCAGCAGGGTGCAGGGGCCAGGTCCCAACCGGCAGAGCCCCTCGCCTCTGACGCTCTGCTCAGAAATACTTTCAGATTCGAAACCTAACCCCCCTGCCCCCCATCACTAAGGCCCTTCCCTGTCCCAGAACTCCTTGCAGGGACGCCCCGCCCCCTAACCAGGGCCACCTGTCCTTCCCACAGTGTCCTCATCCCGGATTCCCAGAGCTGCTCCCCAGCGACACCCACCGTCCCCCACCGGAAAGCTGGGATCCTGGCCCCTCGCTCCACGCCCAGGGTCCTCCCGTATTCATTCCTTAGCCGGGCCACCTCCGAAGAGAGCAAGTCTGAGCAGGTGAGGCAAGGGGACACGGGAGACCAGGGCCATTGCCTCCAGGCCACGCTGTCGCCTCAGCCTCCAGCTTTCAGGCTAGAACGAAGGTCCACCCCTGCCGGAAGCCACGGCGGCTGGGCCCCAGGGAGCTGGGAGGATGGGCTGGCCGGGTGCGGCGGGCAGCCGCCTGCACTCCTGCAACTCTGGAGGCCAAGCCTGCCCCGGCCCAAGCGGCCTCACGTCCCGAGGGGCACCCGGAGTCCCTGACCGACACGCTCAGGTTTGGCGCGGGCCACGGCGGCCGGGAGAGGGTGCCGGGCGGGCGGCGGTGGAGGGGCCTCGGTGGCGGGACCAGCGGGCGCCTGCCTACCTGTGAGCTGCGCTGCCGCACCTGCCTCTCGCCGCACCTCCTCCCGGAAACGCTGGGCGCGCCCCGCCCCAGCTGGGACCCGGACGGGACGCCAGAGGCACCGGGCCCGGAGCGACCCCTGCAGCCTCACGGGCACCGAGACCCCCCACTTGGGCCGGCCCCGGGAGAGGCCGCTCTGTGCTGCTGTCGCCTGTCCCCGCGTCTCTGAGCTGCCCTGGCGGCCCGATCTCTGTCGGCCTGAGCGAGCAGAGGAGCAGCGATGTGCCCTGGAGACCCAGGGACCCCCTGGAGCAGGGACAAGGCTCCGGGGGCGGCGTAGACACCAGCGCCTGGGAGGGGCCGCTCCCGTCCGGGAGAGCCCGACTTAAGGCGCCAAACGTGTGTGCAGGAAAAAGCCGGGCAGGAAACAGACCAAAGACTCGCATCGTTTATCTCTGGGGTGGGGAGGCGCTACTCTCTTCTCTATACTTTCCCAATTTTTAAACAATAAGCACGTAGGCCCGGCGCGCCGGCTCACGCCTTGAATCCCAGCATTTTGGGAGGCCAAGGTGGGCCGATCACCTGAGGTCAGGAGTTCGAGACCATCCTGGCCAACATGGCGAACCCCGTCTCTACTAAAAATGGCCGGACGCCATGACTCACATCTGTAAATCCCAGCATTTTGGTAGGTCAAGGCGGACGGATCACCAGGTCAGGAGATCGAGACCGTCCTGGCTAACACAGTGAAACCCCATCTCTACTGAAAAAAAAAAAAAATTAGCCGGGCACGGTGGCATGCGCCTGTTGTCCCAGCTACTCTAGAGGCTGAGGCAAGAGAATCACTGGAATTCAGGAGGTGGAGGTTGCAGTGAGCCGAGATCGAGCCATGGCACTGCAGCCTGAGTGACAAAGTGAAACTCCATCTCAAAAAAAAAAAAATACAAAATTAGCTTGGCATAGTGGCGCACACCCGCCATCCCAGCCACTCGGGAGGCTGAGGCAGGAGAATGGCTTGAACCCAGGAGGCGGAGGTTGCTGTTAGCTGAGATCACCCCACTGCACTCCAGCCTGGGCAACCGAGCGCGACTCCAGCTCACAACAAAAACAGTCAACATGTAACGCTAGAAAATGTCGAACTGAGCAGTATTCAGTGAACCAGCTGGGGCACAGGGAGGTCCCACCTCAGCAGCCCCTCCCAGCACTCCTCACTAGGGCTCCCCTCTGGGGAGGAGGGGAAAGAGGAGCTTCGTGAGGCCCGAGTGGAACCCTCCTGCCGGGGAGAAAATTCCTCAGGAGACCAAGGAGCCCTTCCCAGGCCCAGCCCCAGCCCCAGCCCCAGCCTGGCCCCTCACCCACCTGCAGGGCTGGCCTCATGATCCCGCCCAGCAATCCTGGGGGCTGCAAGGCCTCTGCTTCTCAAGCGAAGGGGCCTGGGACCCAGCTGAACCAAATAGGCTAGGCTTATGGGACAGGACCTTGAGACCAAGGGGGTTGGCCCCTGGCACAGGCGCACCAGGGACCTGCCTGGCCGGCTCACCCGGTCCTGGATCCCAGAACCAACCGTTATTGTTGGCAGGGGGCTGCCACCACAGCCACCCCACGCCTTCTGGGAGGAGCAGGTGGGGGCTGGCTCTGGCAGGGCTAAGAGCTCTGGACAGCCAGCCAGGTCCAGGGCTCTGCTCCAGCAGCCTCAGGCCATGGGTCCTTTTTTGTTACCAAGGAGCGGTGGCCTTCTCCCCTCTGGTGGCCTCCCCAGCCATGCAGAGTATGCTCTCAGGAAACCACTTCTCCAGCACAGTGCTGAGCCCCCTTCAGCTAGGACCTCACCTGCCTCCATATCCCAGCCCCCTCCACCCCTGTGTACTGGCAGGAGGCTGGGTATGGGGAGGGGGGGCAGGGGAACAAGAGCATGTGTGCATGAAGCCAGAGAGGCTTGTGAGGGTGGGGGACAGAGCTTTGGGCCAAATGCCTAAGTTGGAGCAGCCACTCCAGCAAGCTGGGGAGGGGGCAAGTGGCACGCTCAGGGGCTCCCTGAGGACCACACCCCCACCCACCGGGCCAGCTGTGTGTGTGCCCTGACTCGGGTTCTCTGTGCTCAGCTTCAGGGACCTTGGCCTCTACAGCTGTCCAACCCCAAAAGCCACACACCCCGCTGTGTCATTGTGTGGTGGATGGGCAGGTGACACCTTTTGCAAACAGTTTCCTGTTTTATTTACCAAGGATCTTGGTCCCAAATATTTCCATCAGCTCTCAGAAGGCTGTGGCCAAGGGTCAGCCAGGAGGCCTCCGGGCAAAGTGGGGGTCGTGTGGATGGGTCCTAGCCAGGGGGTAGGCAGGAATGCAGCAGACTCATATATGCCTGCAGGGGGTGCCCAGGCCAGCCTGGCACGTTCCACATGCCAGGCCCAGGACTGCGACGCTGGAAGCCCTGACCTGCAGCTGTGGAGATGCTGGTCAGCTGAGGAGCGCTCGCGCCTAGCCACCATGCTCTCCAGCAAGCCGGCGGTCACATACAAGCGAAGTGGGCAGAGACTGGGCTGCGGCATTTATTACATGTGCTTTGGCAAAAATAAATAATTCTTCACACGGACTTTTCAGCAGGACAAGAAAAACAGAGGGAAGAGCAGCTGCAGAGCTCTCGGAGTATGTGTGGGGAGGTGCGCGGGCGGCACGGGAAGGACGACTAAGGCACAGGTGCGCGGGCCTCCGCGGCCCCGGGGTGCGGGGGGTGTACAAACCTCCCCACTCAGTGCAGCTGTGAGTGGCTGGCGGGGGTCCACTGCAAGGCCCCCTCTCGGCAGCTGTGCGGCCCCCTCCTCCTCACTTCGCAGTGGTCATGGACGAGGCCAGGGGTTGGGGTCTCAGGCAGCCCTAGGGCACCGACTCTTGGGGGCCGGGCTGCAGGAGGGGGCGCTCAGCAGGGGGGCAGGCCCGCAGGGGCGGGGTCTGCAGGGGTGGGGGCGGGGCCGGAGGGCGCGTGCATGCGCAGAGCGTCCGGCGGGAAGGCCACGTTGGTGCAGAAGAGGCCAAGCAGCAGCTGGCGCTGGCACGCCTCCCACTTGGCCAGCGCGTCCCCCAGCGAGAGGTTGTTGCGCATCCAGCCGGGCAGTGCCTCGCTGTAGGTGGCGCAGGACAGCGGCACGGAGGGCAGCGACTGGGTGCGGCGCAGCTCCACCTGCTCCGACATCCTGCGGGGCGGGGCCGGGGCAGGGAGGGCTTCAGTGCCAGGCAAAGGCGCCGCGGGCTGTGGACGGGCAGGTGGGCGCGCGGTCGGCGGCTCACCTGGAGGGCAAGTGGCGGCCCAGCTTCCTCTTGGCGCGCATCACCAGGTACTGGCAGATGCTGCCCGTCTGCTCCTTCATCCACCGGATGTCCTCGGGAACGTCGGGCAGCCACTCCAGCAAGCTGGGGAGGGGGCGAGTGCGCGCTCAGGGGCTCGGCCAGGCCCACACGCCCACCCACCGGAGGCTGTCTGTGCCCTGATTCGGCACCGCCCACCCCACCCCGCCTTCCCTGTGACCATCACTCGCGGATGATCCCCAAGTGCGGATGATCCCCAAGTCCGTCCCCAGGGCCCCTCTCCGGACCCTCCTGCCCCCACACCGGATAGTGAAGGACAGGGCGCTCTCCAGCGGCAGCGTGTAGGGCACCATCATGGCCGTGGCCAGGCGCACGGGCAGCATGTTGGAGAGGGTGGTCAGCAGGTCCGTGGGCTCCACACAGGCCTCCAGCAGGGCTGCGGGCAGGCAGGAGGTTGGCGGCCAGCGGAGGCAGGGGAGCCCAGGATCCGCTCGGCTTTCCTCCCCGCCTCACCATCCCCTCCTCTCTTCCCTCCCCTCCTGCCTCCCCTCCTCCAGTCCAGTCCCCGAGGTGCACCCTCATTAAGCCGGGCGGGCAGGTGCTCCAGGATGTGACCTTCCTCCGGCGGCTGCGAGTGATCCTCCGCTCGGGCGCTCTCCACGGCCTCGTCCTCCTCCTCGTCCTCTGGGCCGTCAGGGCGGGCGGGGGGCAACGCCAGCAAGGGGTTGGGCCGGTTCAGGAGGCCTGGGGTGGGGACGAGAAGGGATTCCCAGTTAATCAGCGCGGCCGCGGCCTGGTCAGCCAGCAGAAGGCAGCAGAGCCGAGCCCAGCCCGCCCACCCCGGCCGGTCCCGCGCACCGTTCCGCCGCAGGAAGCGCAGGCCGTCCCGGTAGCCCTGCTTGCACATCTCCCGCAGCACCTGCAAGTGAGGAGGACCAAATGGAAGTGGGCGGCCCACGCATCCCCGTTCGGCTTCTGGAGTCCCCCTGACAGCCACCTCCCTCCGCAGCCCCCAGCCCCAAAACCTATCCTAGATCCAGAACAAGATCAAGGCTGTGGCCGGGCGCGGTGGCTCAAGCCTGTAATCCCAGCACTTTGGGAGGCCGAGGCGGGAGGATCTCGAGGTCAAGACATCGAGACCATCCTGGTCAACATGGTGAAACCCCCGTCTCTACTAAAAATACAAAAAATTAGCTGGGCGTGGTGGCGCGTGCCTGTAATCCCAGCTACTCAGGAGGCTGAGGCGGGAGAATTGCCTGAGCCCAGGAGTCGGAGGTTGCGGTGAGCCGGGATCGCGCCATTGCACTCCAGCCTGGGCAACAAGAGCGAAACTCCGCCTCAAAAAAAAAAAAAAAAAAAATCAAGGCTGGACAGGAGGCCGGGTGCTGCGGCCCACGCCTGTAATCCCAGCACGTTGGAAGGCTGAGGCAGGCAGATCACTTGAGGTCAAGGATTAGAGACCAGCTTGACCAACATGGCAAAACCCCGTCTCTACTAAAAATACAAAAATTAGCTGGGCATGGTGGCGCAGGGCTGTAATCCCAGCTGCTCGGGATGCTGAGTCAGGAGAATTGCCTGAACCCAGGAGGCAGAGATTGCAATGAGCCAAGATCAACCCACTGCACTCCATCCCGGGTGGCAGAGTGAGGTCCTGTTTTTGTGTTTTTGAGACAGAGTCTTGCTGTGTCATCCAGGCTGGAGTGCAGTGGTGTGATCTCAATTCACCACAACCTCGACCTTCCCGGTTCAAGTGATTCTCCTGCCTCAGCCTCCCGAGTAAACTGGAATTACAGGCGCGTGCCTGGTACTTTTTTTTGCATTTTTAGGAGACCGGGTTTCGCTATATTGGCCAGGTTGGTCTCAAGCTCCTGACCTCGTGATCCACTGGCCTCAGCCTCCCAAAGTGCCAGGATTACAGGTGTGAGCCACCGTACCCAGCAAGACCCTGTCTCAAAAAAAAAAAAAAAAAGAGGCCCAGCACTTTGGGAGGCTGAGGCAGGCAGATCACCTGAGGTCAAGAGTTAGAGATCAGCCTGGCCAACATAGTGAAATCCTGTCTCTACTGAAAATACAAAAATTAGCCAGATGTGGTGGTGGGCGCCTGTAATCCCAGTACTTGAGGGGCTGAGGCAGGAGAACTGCTTGAATGGAGGTTGCAGTGAGAGAGCGGCTGGACATGGAACCTGCTAGACAGAGAGGTTAGATAGAGAGGCTGGGTGGGTCGTCTGCCCCTGGAAAAGTTGTGCGCTTCCCCCAGCCCTCAGAAGAGGCTGCACAGACTCCCACCCTACCCTGGGCACTCAGAATTCAAGGTGCCCAGTGAGGAGAGGCTGGGCAGGCCAGTCCCCAGAGCAGGGCTCACCAAGGGCTCGGGCGGGAAGAGGGCCTTGGAGAGGCGGTAGAGGTTCCGCAGGTTGAACTGGATGCTGGTGTTGGTGACCCGAATCTCGTGGATGTTGCTAGAGCTGTCCTGTGGGCAGATGTCACTCTCGCCCGAGAAGGGGGAAACCGTGATGGTATTCTTCAGCTCGTAGAGCGGCAGGTTGTCTGAAATGCCACCATCCACATAGCGCTTCCACAGGACACACAGACAGGGCTGCACGTGAGGGCCTGCCAGCTGTGCCAGCCACCCAACCCGGCCACCAAGCGTCCCATTCAGTGGCTATTTCATTTGAGCATTTTATCCACTGGGCACTGGCTGTGGGCCAGCCGGGGCACTGAGCAGATCGCAGATGGCGGGGGGTGGGGGGCAGGCAGGGACGGAGAGCCACAGGAAGCGTGTGTTGCCATAGCTGCCCTGTTTCTTGAGTAACACAGGGAGGTGGCTGTCAGGGACGCCAGGGACTGACAGGGGAAGTGGGGTAACGAAGTGGCAGAGCAATGGCCTGAGGGGATGGTGCTCGGCAGCCTCCTCCTCTGTCCCTCATCCTACATCCCACCCCATGGAAGGTGATCAGGGTTAGGGGTACTTACCACCCCATGGAGGGAGGGAGGAATGAGG